ACGCCAACAAGTCTGGGGAAAAAAGGCTAACACTTTCAATATTTAAGCTTTTTGGGCACTTCCCATGGGAAGCTGTCCCTACCAAAGTGGCCATAGGCTGCAGTCCTCTGATAAATTGGCTTCTTCAGATCCAGATCCCTGGAATATACAAGTCCGTAACTTAATATGTAGCATTCAATTAAATTAAAGCAAAACAATCAGCAAGACTCATTTTCAAGACTTCTGGCAAATGAGTTCAGTTCTCTGGGGTATGCTAGGAAAGAAGTTTGTGGCAAAAGTGTTTGTTACTTCCCTGGTGTCCAAACTCCTTGCACAGTCCTTATTAGTAACTATAGTTCTTGTTTTTCCGTCCCTGGCTCAACAAATATGAAAACTTGTCATTATTCTGAGACATTTCAAGTGTCAAAAGCTCATCTAAAATCATGGAATACTTACCGAGGTCCCATGCCCACACCCTACCATGGTTATTTTCTTTGTAACAGCCATGCCCATTCATCTGTACTAAAATTTCTTTTAAGTAAACATCCCTTAGGTAACAGGAGCACAAAGCCTATATCAAATGTGGAGGACTTTCTAGGGTGGTTAGTCTAAGCCATGCAGCACTGTAATTTTAGAGTTTCCTAATAATTTAAGCCTTTACTGACGGCAGTTTAAAAATGACATCAACACATTCTAGGAATTACCATGTTTCCCCACTCCAGTCTTCCTTCACACCTTCACTTTCTCAGATTTGAATATATCAAGTATATATACATACACACCCACACCCTCAATGTTTTTCACTAGCAATAGTCTTTACCATCTTTACCTGACAATGACCCCAGGGCGGAGGTCAAAATTCTTCTTCACAATCTCTAATAGCTCTCTCTCACTCTTCTGAGAGGTGCCATAATGGAAAATGGAGATAGACAATGGATGAGATACTCCAATAGCATAAGAGACCTAAAAGAATTTAAATGTCGTAAGAGTCAGTAATCAAAAGACCCACATACTTGTGTAATACACTGGTATCAAAAAAAGACAAGTAGATAGCTGCTAAATGCCCTCCCGCTTACATGCCTTTTAGTCAACCCAGTTATATAGAAGTATATACCTGAACAAGAACCCTTCTGCACAGACCTCCTTTAACAAGGGATTTTGCCACCCAACGAGCAGCATAAGCAGCTGAACGGTCCACCTTGGTATAATCCTTTCCTGAAAAGGCACCTCCTCCATGAGCTCCCCAACCACCGTAAGTGTCCACAATGATTTTCCGGCCAGTCAAACCAGCATCACCCTGAAATTATAGGATTTAAGTTACTTTATGCCTAATCCTTTCCAGTGGTTCTAGATCAGGCTTGTTAAATGGTTATTCAATATCACTTGGCAAATATCCTCAGAAGAGGCACAGGCAGGCTTCAAAAACCCTAGGAAAAAGGTGGAAGTAGCCGAATTTTAGCAAGTAACAGAAGACCCAAAAAAGCAACTGAATTGACATTGTAAGACCTTACCTGAGGCCCACCAATAACAAATCTGCCACTTGGCTGTAGATGATAGATTGTATCCTCATCAAGATACTTTGCAGGTACAACGGCTTTGATGACTTTCTCCTTTAGGGCATCCCTCATCTCATCTAGACAAACTTCTTCATCATGCTGAACAGATATAACAATTGTGTGGACTCTGATGGGAAGCACAGCACCTCGGTCCTGCATATACTGCACAGTCACCTTGAAAGCAAAACAGATCATCAGAACATCAATCTATTAAACAATAGCTTTGTTCCCGATTCTCTACCCTACATTACAATACAGAGAACAAACCACATTCTTCTCTTAGCTTTAATCAAAACACCTTACTGAAGTCCTGTGCCAATGTCATGTGTGTAGTTTTGACACTCGTCACTTACTTGAGTTTTAGAATCTGGGCGTAACCAAGGCAAAGTGCCATTCCGGCGTAGTTCAGCCAGTTTGGCATTGAGCTTGTGTGCTAAGACAATGGTTAATGGCATACATTCCTCTGTTTCATCAGTGGCATAACCAAACATCAAACCCTAAAAAAGGAAAAGTTACCAATGCAATCAATCCAAGCTTTAGAATTTAATGTTAGAAGAGATGCAAACAGATGTCTACCAAGATACCTGGTCTCCTGCACCAATGTCTTCCTCATTCCGATCAAGATGAACACCTTGAGCAATATCTGGTGACTGTTGCTCCAAGGCCACTAGCACGTTACAAGTCTTGTAGTCAAACCCTATAAACAAAACGATGTTTTTTTGGTTTGTTTTTAAAGGGCCATAGCAATACTTTGTATTTACGACAAAGTAAATCTGTCATTTTAAAATTATCTGGAATTCTAAATGCTGCTAGAGAAATCAAATATACCTAAAACTTAGTACTTTTAAAGAATAGGGCTGGAACAAAAACACTAAAAATATACAAGTAGAATTAAATATTCCCAGGAACACTCTAGAAGATATAGCTAGAGAGGAATGAAAAAAAAAATACCTGGAAAAATGAGGTTAGAAAGCCCACTCATTAAAACACACCTTTGGAAGAATCATCATATCCAATGTGTTTAATGGTTTCACGAACCACTTTCTGGTAGTCAACAGCAGCTCTGGACGTAATTTCCCCAGCAAGAAGGATCATTCCAGTTTTAGCAACAGTTTCTAGTAAAAGAGAGGTTCACAGTCAAACATCACTTTTATGAAGTAATTTTCATGCTACCTTTTCATCAGGTGATAAAGCAGTGTTCTGAACCTACCACAAGCCACTTTGGCATCAGGGTCCTGCTGAAGGTGGGCATCAAGAACAGCATCACTAATCTGGTCACAAATTTTATCTGGGGAAGAAAAAAATTCCTGGCTTAATTTCTTTAATTCACTGATAATGTCATGTATGTCATGCCCCCTTCCCCTATAACTACAGCTGGGAAGATCTCTGTGTTTTCTTTTTAAAAAACTGTGGCAGGAATTCCCTGGCAGTCCAGTGGTTAGGACTTCGTGCTTCCACTGCAGGGGGCATGGGTTCAATCCTTGGTCAGGGAACTAAGATCCTGAAGGCCGCTTGGCAGGGCACCCTCCCCCCATCAAAATTGTGGCAAAACCTATATAGCATAAAATTTACCAATTTAACCATTTTCAAGTGTACATTTTCAGCGACATTCCAAGTATGGAGATAACTGCTATACTGCTTTTGCAGAAACCATTTCCCTGAAGAATAAACGCTGGATATAGTGCTACATGTTTCCTAACTTGACACCTTGTTCTTCATATAGCTGTACCACAGATCACCAATTCAGATAAGCCAGCAGAACACCCAGCATGTTTAATACATTTAAGCTCATTGCAGTATATGCACTTTACACCTTTACAAGGACTTCAGTCCCATCTTTAAAGTATATCAGACATTTTGAAAAATTAAGTTCCTAGGCAAAAACAATTTCTATTGTTAAACAGGATAGCCACATAATGGAGATTGATTAAATGGAAGTAAGTAGAAAGTGTTTTATCTTCCATTCAAAAGCAAAACAAGGAACATTTACCTTCACAGCATTAATTTTCAAAGGCAATGGTACTTACATTTTATCCCCCGAATTTAAATTTTTCATTATAAATCTAACCAACCAGAAAGGTGAACCGTTTATCAATCTCTCCCTGATTCTAAGGAACGCCAATTAGGGCAGTGAGAAATAAAGTCAGAGTTAAATGATGAAAGCAACGACACTTCATGAACAAAGGGAATAAAACGGCAACCATTTGATTTTGTGTTAAGAGTAATCCAGGAACAAGAGCCGAATAGGCTGGAAAATCCCCAAATGTATTCTGAATCCTTGCTGATCTTCCCCTCACTGTACTGCCCTCTATTAAAAATCAGGAGAACAGAAAAAAACCCCGAATATCACTTTCCTAAATTTTCTATAACCATCCAAAAAACACTGAAGCAAAATGTGTACCGCAGTCCAGTCAGAGGCCCAGGACAATCTAAACATTTACAAATGCCTGCAGCTTTAAGTTAATAAAAGGCGGTTCAAATACACAGTGCAGTTCTCAGCGCTGGGGGAAAACAAACAAAACCACCCACACCACACCTGACCTTCACTCATCAGGATCTCGGGGTTTGTCCTCTCCTCTACCACTAGGTTGCTTGTGGGATTTCATCATAGGCACAGTAAGCTTGCTAGAGGGAAATGGATCCTTAAACCAACAGACGAGGCATCTGTCATTGTGGTCATCCCAAGAAAGGGCTGGACCCGTCTAGTAGAATAACGATCTTCACTAGGTGAGGTTTTCAGGCTGGGTTCGAAAGTTCCTTGAAATAGCTTCATTCGTTCACGTGTAAATTGATCGCCATAATGGCGGACCGGTGGACAAAGCCCAGAGGATGACATATGGAGTAAAAACCTTGCCTAACAGTCAGCCCCAACGCAATGGCGCCATACACTTAATTCATGCTTCCTATCCTCTTCACGCACGATCCAAATAAGGAATGCCTCCTCCGACAAGCACTATATTTAGTTGGAGGCTGTCACCTTGACGCGAGGCCATATACCGGCTAAGGGCATGTCGTATTCTTCAGTGTAGCCAAAGAATTAACGGGAAGAGCGGAGGCCCGGTGGCCCGGGCCACGCTCTGCAAACCAGCCGGCTCCCTCGCCCAGAAGCCACATGCGGCAAACACGTGGTTGAGGCTGCAATGCGGGGCGCGCGCTCTCGCGGGCCGGACGCGAGCACGCGAGGCGGGCCGCCCACTCGAGGTGGCTCGGACCGCAGGGCGGGGAGAAGGAAATAGTGCCCTCCCCGGCTAGAACACGAGCGGCCACGGCCCCCGCCCTTCTCGTTTTCTGGAATCTTCCGCATGCCGGGGCGCGCGGCCGGATGGGAGGGGAGGAGAGAAGAAGGGGGGGCGGCGGCCACGCGCTCGGCAGCGGCGGCGCCACGAGGAAGGCGCGCGGCCGCCGCTCTTTCCACCAGCAGCCGGGAGAGGGCCACCGGCTTGGGCACCGCTGCCGGCGGATTCTGCCGGCCAGTCCCGACCCCGCGCCCCGCCCCTCGCTTCGCTCCAGGCCCCATCACCTCACCTGGGTGGCCTTCCCCCACAGACTCGGAGGTGAAGAGGAACGTGCCCTCCTCGATGAACGCGTCGTGGAAGCCGTTGAGCTGCCCGTTCATGGTGGTGGCGGTGAGTGAAAGTGGCGTTGAGGAGAAAAAGCGGCGAGCCGACAAGTGCGAAACGCGCTAGCAAAAGACCGCGTTCTTGTCAGCTCGAGCGGGCGGCGCGGAGCAAACGAGGCGGCGGGCAGCGCGGCCTACTATTTATACACGGCGCCCGCGCGCGCCCGGCTCGGGCCCCGCCCCTCGGCGCCGCGCGCCAATGCGCCACTCGCGCGGGGACGGGGGAGGGGAAGGGGCGGTGCACCGAGGGGAGCTCGACCGAACCATTCTGCCAGGCAGGGGGAAGGGAGCGGAGGTAACGCGCCCCTCTCGCCAATATTCGCCATCTTAAGCACTAATAAGGGGTGAGGGGAAAGGCAATATACTGGGTCGTTGTATGCTTCCGTGTTCGACGTGGAAGGAAGAGAGACAAGGGCTTTATGGGCCTGCTCCCCTGTGCTGTGACAATGGCACCTCCCTTCCGACCGTTGGCCGGGCTACCTGGCCGCTAGGTCGCGTCCCCCAGCGGGGGCAGCGGGAATCGTCGGGGGTTTTGTCCTCTGGCTCTCCCCGAGGGTCTTTCCGGCTGCCCTGCCTGGAGGTGTCCGGGTGACAGGGAGCCAGTGGCCCACAGCCACGTGAAAGTGGCCATCTTGGCTGGTCAGCGTACCATCCTTCGCACGGCCTTGTGCATCCTCGCCCTGAGCGCAGCCGGCGGCTGGCAGCCCTGCGGGGGGCCGTCTAGTTGCTGGCAATTTCTTGGTTAATGGTTCTGTGGTGAAAATGGTCGAAAAGCGGAAAAAAGAGAGTTCTGTCATCGATTTCAACGATTGCCGTCCCCCTTCCGCCCCCAGCGCTACAGTTTCTGAGAGAGGCCCTCACTCTTTGTGGACCCTACGGTGGAGGCCGCGCTCGGCCCCTTGGCTCCAGCCTTTTCTCCAAGAAAGGAGGCTGCTCACAAGGCTCACCTTGCATTTGCTGACTTTACTGTCTTGGAGGAGGAAAAAAGTCGATGTTTAGAGTATGATTTCAGTCTTCTGTTCAAGAGACTGTTGAATATTGGGGTGGGGGGAGCCCCGTTTACGCCCTTGTATGTGATTCAGCAGATCTCTTGACAAGGTGATGGTCTGTTTCCTGAAGCTTTCACTTTAAAATGTCCACCTGCGTTTGTGCCAGGTTTGCCCATTTAAAGGAATTATAGGGAGAGAAGGGAAAAGAACAAAACCAAACTTGAGCCAACGAGGAGCCGGGAGTCGGGGACCGATTTCATGGCTCTCCGTTTGGAAGGAGCCCACAAGTGGCGGGTGGGCCGGTGTCACTTCCGTCCCGCACAGGGGCTTCGGACTTGGTGCAGGGCCGGGGCCGGGGGGCTGCTGCTGTCGCGGTGGCCCCGAGCGCATGAACTTCGGGTTTAATGATGTTATTAGAAGACCGCCTGCTCCTAGGATAGGATGCACGTTACCCTGGGGAGATGAATAAGACCCCTCGCAGCAGCCTCCAGCTGCTTACCGCTCAGAGAATTAGGTGAATTCGGAAGAACAGTCCTCTCCGCGGCTTGCGGGAGGAAAGGTGGGTTTACTGATTGGGAAACAATGGAAGCACCTGGGCTGTGCTTGGGGCTTTCACAAAGAACGTTAAAAAAGGGCCCATCTCTAGACTTTATGACCACATCCATGGTCCTTCAAAGCAGGGAACAAGAAAAGGCTAAATCACAAAAGAGACAATATAGATGTTTATATTTGTTTCTGTTTTTCAAACTAACTTATGGAAAAATAACTGTGTAAGACGTTAATCATTTCTTGTTTGTTTTAGAGTAGTTCACTTTTTTTTTTTAAGCAGAATGCCAGTTTGTTAACTTACAATGTGGGATAAAATTCCCAACTGAAACAAATTGCATGTGTAGGCTGCTCAGTGCATTATCTTCCAGCAGAAAAATCTATAGGGGAAGCTAGAATGTAAAGTTATTTGATTAATATGGAGTCAGAGCAAGGAGATTAAATTCAATGATTAGGTCATTAAACCCTGATACCCCTATGCTAACAACTCCACATGGGGTTGTTCCTGCCAAGGAGATTAGAATCAGCTGTTCATACTTGCTTACCTACTCATTCTTGTTCTTAGCATATGTAATTTAATGGTTAAGGGTAGGGGTTTTGGAGTCAAGCCTCTGCCACTTATTAACAGTGTTGAGCAAACAACTAACCCTCTCTACTCCTCAGGGTCCTCAGTCTGTAAAATTGGGGTAATAATCATACTCTCATAGGATTGCATCAAGAATTAAACAAAATCATGCAAGCAAAGTCTTTAGCACAGTATCTAGCACATAATAGTTAGCTGTAAAAAATACCCCTTCGGTGGCTTCCAATTGCTGTTAGAATAAAGACCAAAATCCCTACATACCCTTAAAGGCCTCAGTGTGATTTGGCTGCTACTTCTTTAACCTCTTCTTGTGCCACTCTCTCCTTTTTGTCTTCTACTTTGCATTCTTTTGACTATTAACAGTTAAATTTCTTAATTGATTATGCTCAAAACAAAGCACATTTTCATTGATTTATATGTTTCACATTGTCCCTTCCTCCCACAAATATTTACAAGCGTTTCTGTCAAGCAGACCCAGTATTGGTGCCATGACAGTCTTGGTCTCTGCCCACCCATAGCTCTAAATGAGGGAAGATGCCTGGCTAATTCCTCCCCATCCTTCCCACCCAGCTCAGCTGCCACTTCCTGGATGTAGCCTTCAGCTGCCTCTTTCTGGATGAAATCTTCACCTACACAGATTTCTCACAGGGTCCTGTGTTTTCCTACATGGCACTCAGTGCTCTTTGAAATACAGATTTGGTGACTATTTGATGAATGTCCCAACTCCCAATTAGATTTGTAAGCTCCATGACAATAAGAAGGTGGTCCGTTTTGCTCAGGCTTTGTTGCTGAGAGCCTGACACACAGAAGGTGCTTAAGAATGTTTGTTGGAGGAGAAGAAGAGAGAAGAGAGGGAGAAAGGGAAAGAGACACAAGGAAAGGATGAGTAAATATAAGGGATGGCACAAAGAAGCGGAGAAATGAGAAACCCTGGGGATCATGTAAAATCAATGAAAAGAGCCACCGCGTTGTTTTAGTCACCAGCGTTATAATTTATAACGCTGAGAGCTCTTTACTAACAGGGAAGCTCATCATCATCCTGTTCTGAGAGGAATGAGGTATCTGATTCCATACATTAGTGCCCTAAGGCTGAAATAAACTAGGAGGAGTTATTGGTTTATTTCATATTTAACATGAATGAGATTTGTTGAATGTGAAATGTTGCAAAACACATAGAAAAAATCGACTCGCCTAAAGCCTCGGGATCTCAAACCAAAGAACGTTAATGTGGCAGTAGTTCCATGAAAGAGGCAAGGTTGGTATTGGATAAACTGGTGTGTGGGACTCAGCAAATATGATGACTCCAGGTCTTATCCATCTGCCAGTTAAGGAGAGAGTACCAGTAAGTAAGAGAAAGCATGTGCAGTGCAAGAAGCTGTTGATTTGACAGGAAAACAGGGAGATGACACTAGGTATATCAGAAAGCAATAGTAAAGTGTGGAGATGTTGAGAAGAGAGCTCCTAAGCTTTCCAGACTACCTTCTATGTGATGACAGGACAAGAGGAAAGAAATCTAGGCCAGACGTCTCCAAAATTGTGCCAGTTCTTTAGGGCCAAAGCTCAGACATGGCCTCAGAAGCAAACTAGCTCTAGTGGGTTCTGAAACAAGTACTATGTGAATCCCCTCAGTGTTAGGCTTCTTGTAATCTGTTTTTGTTTCTCTGTTTTTCTCTCCTGATAATCAGATCTTTTAACAATCCCAGTAGGTAGAGAGGGATGGAAGAATGCATAGGGTACAATGAAGAAGACACTGAAGGAGACAATAATATAATGATGACGACATCTATAATTTATTGTGACAGGCACTTTTCTAATATCTGTGCCTCACAACAATTCCAGTGAGGCATATATTATTTCTCTTCCTATTTTATACATGAAGGAACTAACATGTAATTCTCCCAGGTCACACACCAAATCAGTAGTGGACTTGAAATTGGATCTGAGCTCTAAATTCATGTTCCTTGCTACAAGTCATAGGATAGATACTTCACACTCCCTGAGGTAATTAACTATAAAATTTGGTTTGTATCCTTCCATACCTTTTTCTATAAACATGCACGCGCACGCACACACACACACACACACATTTACCTGAAACATGGATTTTTCTCTTAACAATTTTCATGGCCATTTCTCCAGGACACTATATAGAGATAGAAATCTTTCTATTTTTTTTCTCTTTTAAAAAAATTCTGATAAACATAACATTTACCATTTTAAAGTATACAGTTCTGTGACATTAAGAACATTCACATTGTTCTGCAAAATCATTCTTTTTAATAACAGTAAAACATACTATATTGTGACTCCATACAATTCATTCAACTGTTGCCTTAATGGTTGGTATTCAAGTTGTTTCTCATTTTTGCCATACACGCAATGCTGATGAAGGTAACATCTTTGTACATATACTTTTGTGAAGCAGTGTTTTTATTTTTGTGGAAGAGATGTCTCAAAGTGGGATTGCTGAGACAAAGGATATGTACATTTTTACGTTAGTAGTTACAGTCAGATTACTTTCCAAATGGCTGTCAAAACTTCACGTGAGAAGTATGAGAAGGGTAGGAGAATATCTAGAAACCACAAAGGAAAAAAAAGACTGATAGACTTAACTACATAAAAATGAAAAATTACTGTGCAAGTAAAATCCAAAGGCAAACAATAGAAGAAAACATTTGCAATGCATATGACAGACAAAGGCTTAGTACCAATTGATGGGAAAATGACAAACAGCCCATGAAAACTAGGAAAAAGAGTATAAGTGAGTAATTCACCCAGGAGGAAATGCAAACGTACGAAATGATACTTAACCTCATTGATAGGGAAATGAATTAATTCACTTGTATAGTGAGTTTGGGAAAAACAAGAGGTGTGGAGGAGGGGAGGGTA